TTAGTAAATTTAAATTATTAATTTGGTTAATTACTTAAATATATCATGTGGTTTCACTAAACTATTTAAATATGAAACTGGATTCATTCCTCACAAAATTTGTCCTCACCCCATCCTTACAACATTTACAGTCATTCATTTAGAACATCTCCGTACTTCAATTTTTTATTCATAGGGAGATGTTCATAATGCAATATTGCAAGTGTTGTAAGGATGATGTGAGGACTGAATCCGGGTTCTTTAAAATACCCTATATAGGGTGGTCCCACTTAACACATATAAACCCTCCATTAGTAAAACATTTTAGACCATTTGCTAAATATAATACTTTACTAACATTTTCAAATTTACTATCGCTATTGTTTCTTTGAATTGGGTATTATCTTTAAAAGATTGATGTTGTTATAAGAAATCATGCTTAAAACCCTTCCCCCAAATACTAAGCTTCTTATTAGTTCAACAAGATGCAGTAGAATAAGGCTTAGTCAATGGATTCAATAGTTAATCAAGATGCTACTCTTAGTGATTAACTTCATTGTTGAATCAAGAGTTGCAACTATAAGAAACAAATAAACAATATAAGCAGGAGCTACAGGGATTAGCAATTAACAGATATAGAACAATGAAAGTAAATAACTACTAACGAGCAAATAGTAGCTAAAATCAAATGTAACAATCAAATATGCAACCTACTATTGTGTTAGTAGCAATGCAATTAGCAATAAATGCAAATAACTTCAAATTAGTAAAGGGCAGTTGAAAATAAATTAACAATAAAACTAAGAACTGCACTCCATCTCAGAATTCTGAATTTCATTGTAGACCTACAATAATTCAAAATTCAAAATAACTCCACTTATAACATTAATACTCGCCTGTAAATTAGCATCAATTCTGAATTAGCACCTATCCTATACAATGGAGTTGAGATTTATTGGGATGGACTGAACACTAAAAACCCCTAAAAGTAAATGATAACTACACTAGTGGTGTGTATCTAGATTAGCATCTAGAGAGAGAAAACCAACCACTAACAGGTAGCTAAGAAAAGGACCAGCTACAAAAACGTAACTGTGAGAAAGACTAAGTACTCAAATAATATCATTGAGATTTAAGTTGTTGGACTACTATCGGAACCTTAAGGACAAATCAAACTATAGAAATTAAGTAAATGATATAAATGAATAATAAATAAATAAGGAAAGAACTAGCCATTGTTGAATTTCAATGGCACCAAACACAACCTATATTTCAAACATGAGTAGTCTGCTTGTCGAAGTTGTTATTAAGGAAAGAACTAGCCTCAATACAAGTAGTAACATGTTTTGGATTCCTGAAATCAGTTTTTCTTTGAAGATGTTAGGGGATTGACCCATGATTCAGACCAAGGTTTTTAAAACCAGCTGGACAAGAAACTGTTGTGGGGACTAGTATTTGGGTTGAACGGTTCGACTGTCCAGTTCAAATAGACAGCCCGTTTTGACTTAAAAATAAATAAAAAAAATGGTCAAAACTGTTGTCCAGGTCGACGATTCAATGGTTCGACTGCCCAGGTTAGCGGTTTGCCAATTAAATTAACGTTTTTTGGTCAAAAAGCGGTTTTGGATGAAACGGAACCAGTCAAATGACCGATTTCTAGGTTTTCCAATCCGATCGTCCGATCTGGTCCTATTTTGAAAACCATGGTTCAGACTATTAGACTATTACAAACGCTATTAGCATTGTTTCAAACTCTATTCGACCATTACATTCAAAGTGAAAGTTAGGGTTGTCAATGGGTCGAGTCTGAGTCGGGACTAGCTAGAACCAGAACTGGTCCAATAGGAAATATTGAGGACCTAGAATGAACCAGACCCGATAGGGTCCGTAATTTTCAGACCTAGAACTGAACCAATCGGACGTTCTCGGGATAATCGGGTCTGACCCGGCAGACCCGGTTATAATAAATAAATAAATAAATGTGTTTAATATGTATTAAATATTATATATAATTTGCTATGTATTATATGAATATAACTGTCTGAATTGGTTCGGGACTGGCTGAAACTGGTTCCATACTAATAATAATTGGTTCCAATTCCTGTAACCAAAACCGAGCAATAGGTTCGGGTTCATTGGGTCCGTTGGGTCGGACCCGACCCATTGACAGCTGAAAGTGTCTTGCAAGTACATCACCCATCATTTTGCATGGAAGATCAGTCTCTCCATAAATTCATAGTGTTACCTATTTATCAGTTTTTGTCCATTGAAATGTTGAGAGGATGGATTTTAAAATGAATTGTTTTGAGAAGTCACAAATTAAACCATTAATTTAGCAACATCAAGGAAACTCACCCACAAGTAGGGTACTGATTTTGGATATCCAAGCTTATATATGATCTGCCCTTATAGGATATAAACAAATCCAGTATCTATTGGACCATTACATTCACTTATCAGAAATGTGCTAACATCATGCATATGATAGTTATTCACATAGGATACATTAGACAAGAAAAAAAAATTAAATTTGAGACATCAGATTTGTTCCTCGTTCATTTTTAGCCGTTGGATCTGAAATTTGCTGATTAGTAGTGTAAAAAATGCTGTCATCAATCTAAACTATTCATTGGGATCAAAAGTGTGTAGAGTCTATAGATTACACCATCAATGATACATACTATATTCCTTTTTCAACACTTGAAAAATGACAATAACAAACGTTTACCAATAGCATGGTTGGAGAAATCAGCACTCCCATGCATACGTGGCATAAGCTATGGCATAAACGTTATCAAACAGGAGTTTGGATCATTTGCCAACTAAACGCGTTCCAACCCTCTATCAACATTATCTCACGCAGCACATCTCATATATGGCGGGTCTCACTTTTATGGTGGGTTCGGGTCTTATTGTGAGATGTACAATGTAAAATGACGTTGGTAGAGAATTGGAATGTGTTTTGTTGGTAGATGATCCTAATTCGAAAAAGAAAAACTAAAACCAAAAGCCATATCAAACATTATTAAAGCTGCATTTGATATTTCTTATTTTAAGGAATTATTTTGTTTTTACAGTTAAAATGTTTCTTTCAACATTTAGATTTTAACAGTAAAAAGAAGATAAGACCTTAAAATAAGAAATGCCAAATATAGGTCAAGAGTTCCAAATTTCGATCTCCTCCCAACTAAATGCATTCCAACTTGTATGAGGTGTGATGTTAAATCAGGTAGGGGTGTTGGAATGTGTTTTATTGATGGGAGAGCTGATTATTAACATCTCTTCTAGTACATCGCTGGCCAAATGGGCGTAATGAATATGTACGGGAAAGGTATGATACATTAGAAATGCTGTTGGATGTGGGGACAGAACGAAAATAGGTGTTAGGTGTTCTCGTGTAAATAAAAAGGAAAGGTTGCCCAATCAAATTGAAGTGAATTTGGTTAGGTTTTTTCATCTATGTTTAGTTTAAAGGAAAAAGCAGAGAAAGGAAAGGAAAGGCAAGAAAGCCTTTACAAATCTTGTATAGGTTTTGATTTCTTTCTCTTCCTTTCCCTACCTTTTCCTTCAAACCAAACATAGCCTAAAAGGAAAATTCTCAATTAGTACCCTATAATTTGGGCTTAGTGTCACTTTTGTCCCTGAATTTTAAAATGCAACAATTCAATATTCGAACTTTCAAAATATGACAATCCAGTACCTGTTGTTAATTAGCCGTTAACCAGCCATTAAGTGGCATTTGAAAAAGACAAATGTCTTTCGAGTACCATATAATTTTCTTTATCAACCTTCCAAACATTGACAAAAAATTAACAGTCTCAGATCCTTGCCTTTTCTATTCAAGAAAGTTGAGGTCACCAGAATGCGCACTGAAACATGACCCCAACTTTCTTCAATGGAAAAGACAAGGATTTGGGACTATTAAAATTTTGTCAACATTTAGATGGTTGATAAAGAAAATTAAATAACACTTGAAGGGACAGCTGGTTAATAGCTAGTTAACCGCAAGTAGTAAATTGTGACATTTTAAAAGTTTGGATATTGAATTGTCACATTTTAAAGTTTGGAGACCAAAATGGCATTAGGCCCAAAGTATAAGGTACTAATTAGGAATTTTCCCTATATTAAACAGAAAAGTCATTTAGATTCTCAGTTTTAAATGAATTGAATCAAATTAAGTAAAAATGCTTATTCCCACTTTCAAATAAAAGCTTTTATTTTTAATATGTATTTATCTACTCAAAAAATATATAAAATTCAAGATAATTACCCTCATTAAAAAGAAAAAATAAAAACTTATTTCAAATTATGTAGGATCCATAAAATGGGGTTTTATTTATATATTAAATTTGATTTAATCTCCTAAGTCAAATCATAAATCTATATATATATATATATATATATATATAATATCAAATAACCTAAATATACAACATAACAAATGGATGTCAAATAAATTTTATAAGGATACATGAATTAGAAAAAAATATCAGATTACTGGCCCCACTGTTTTGTAAACAATTATCATTTTGTAAATTTTTTATGTATTGGTAAACATTTCTCTTTTTTTCGGGAAATTATGTGATGCTAAAAATATATGGTATGGGAAGAGTTTTGATCAATTAAAACACACCCATTAATTTTGATAACTAACACCTAATTGGCTGCAACTTTTATGATTCCAGTTGACTGATCAAAAAATTTCTCATATATTATATCTTTTTCATATTATAGTCGAACCCCTTTTTTTCAGTTCAGAAGCTCGGCAAAGAAAAGGTAAGAAATTTCAAACGAGTTAATTAGGGTTGATAATGCAACTTTTTATATGGTCCTAGAATGATGATGGCTTTTTTTTTTCCTTTTTGATATCAGTGTTGAAAGGTTGAAAAAATCAAATGAAGAGAGAAAATTAAAAGAGAACAATTACCAAAGGAGAAGACAGATAAAATGTAGGCGTAAAAAACTTGATTCACTAATTTATATAAGAGGCATTGCCCTGACACTTCTGTGATTGTCAAACCAGCTGGGTACTGGGTAGTCTTCTTTATCCAAAATAAACCTTTCATTTCCTTCATTACTTCTCAGGCCGATCTCATGGCATCCTTCACCCCTTCAAAGTATCCGAAGTATATGATCTATCATCCTGAGAAAATACGGATTTCTGATATACTTGGTGCCTTGCTGTTTAGAAGGAGGTTATCAGTGACCTCAAATTTTGTTGAAATTGGCCATCAAGAAGAAACCAAGCCTGGGATTTCCTTCTTTACTTTCATATCCCTTATTACACTAATCGTCGAAAAGATATTACTATTGCTTGACAGACCTTTATATTATCTTGGTTTCATTGTAGAGTTCACTTGGAATCTGTTTTCGCTTAATGGTGGAATTATTGGACTGATTTTTCGAATCATCAAAGGTATTTCCTCAATAAGAGCCTCTGAACTGAACATCATATATATACTCAGTATACTATCTGAAAATTTGCATCAAATGGTCGTTTCTCTCTCTCTATATATCTATCTTTCTTTCTGGAATTCCAGAAGTAAGTTTTGCTTAATTTTCTGTTGTGCAGCGTCAATTATCATACCAAAGCGAGACTCTGTAAATTTCCGGTCAATAGTTGGCTACATAGACGGAAGGAAGGATCTCTACTACTACAAAACATCCTCTGATCTCAGTTTGCTGCCCGAGCAGGCGCTGTTGGACTCTGCCGAAGCGATTAATCCAGTACTAGATCTTTGTGTAATGGCTGCAAAAGTAGTTTACGAGAACCGAGCATACGTGGAAAATGTTATTACAAACCATTGGAAGGTATTTTTCTAATAATCAACGAGAATGGGCAGGGATCTGCTGCCAAAGACGGTACATTGGAACATCTTTCCTGTCATTCATGGGTGGCATCGAGAATCTGCTCCTCATACATAGGCGCCTCACGGGCACATCCACCGTGTATTGAGAACATCTCCCGTAAATAATAATCTTATAAGTATGGGAGATGTGCCCAATACATGGTAGGATGTGCATGTGAGATTGCTGTGAAGAATAGATCCGGTCTCCATTGAGAGCATCTGATTTGGCAGTAGATCTGAACCCAATGAGAATAGGCCTGTTAATCAGATCAGATCAGGTGAAGAAGTCTACACAATATTACATCTGCACCCCGACATTATATCCAAACCATGCATTGAGAAGATCTCCCAGTGACAAGTACGGGAGATGTTTCCAATGCACGCTCAGATGTGCATGTGGGGCACAGATGTAAATTCAGTCTATACAATACACACCCAGGTATCTTCCATGCCGGAAGCTTTAGTCTTGATAATCATCTGTGAGCACAATGATTATCAGGGTGTTTGGTTCCGTTTATGTTTATTGAGTAAACGTTTTATACTTGTTTGATTGTAAAATCGAGAAAAGCAATTAATGAGGGTGTTTATGACACATAGGTGCTATTAGGCACCACATCAGCAAAATGCCAATAAATGGCTACCCGCTTCAAGAAGTTCCAAAATGAAACTTCCTGAAACGGGAGAGGCGCATAAAAACCAAAGGTTGCTTTTACAAATTTCGATACACACAAATGCAATTAATGGGGCATTTGCTGGTGAGACGCCTATGTGACACCGTCACTAAACATTTACTTAATAAACATAAACGAAACCAAACATATACTATATAAATACTCCATAAATTTTCTTACACTTGTCTCATAGAATCCATAAATACTCCATAAATTTTCTTACACTTGTGGGTAGGTGTGAGTACGTAGTGTTTTTGTGGGTAGCAGATCCAGACGTTTAAAACACAGTAACTTACCTTCGAATGCAAATTTCCAAGAGGGTTGAGTATTTATTGAATTAATGCTTATTCATCATGCTCTAAGTAGAATTCCCATGAGAGCCATGTGCACCCACACTACATCTCAACTATATATCGGAAATATATAGATGTTTTCACGCTGAGACGTGCATGTGAGACACGCTCTGTGGGGTGCCAATTGATCTACAAGGGTTTACAATCCAAATTGCTTTTTCAGCAGAAAACCTCTTGCCACCTATTTAGAATAAACAGTGAATTTGATTCTTTACAGCATGATATAGGATCAATCACAACGAATTTACATCTGCACTTTATAGAAGGTGCTCCACAGCATATCTCAAAACGTCTTCCACTGACAACTTCCAGAGATATTTCTAATGTATACTAAAATATGCACGTGGGGTGTTTGTGGGGCACTTTGGTATCACCCAGTTCATTTAAACGAATGAATTTGATCTTGAATAACCCCATTTTGTAGTTAGCAATTTTTTAAGTATTTAGTGATATATTAGAATATTTTGAACCTTGTTATTTTAATGAATCTAATCTTGAATAAACCTATTTTGTATCTTACAATTTTCTCGAGTAAAAATCACAAAACTTGATACACCATTGGGATGGATTTAGATTAGACTCGTAGGTTTATTGGATCTTACTAAATTAATGCTAAACATAGAACTCTGTCAATTAAAATTGAGTCTTACCAGATACCAACAGTTGTAATTAATAATGGGATCGATTTGGGTTTGTTATCTAGTTTTGGACTGGTTATGCATATTTGTTTACTGCATGGTTTTCAAAATCGGACCGGAAAAATTGGAACTTGAGCGGTTTTATTTTTTTTCAAAATCGTTGATTTTAGTCAGCAAACTGTTGAATCGGCCAGTTAATCATTCGAACCGTTTTTCAATTTTCTTAAAATTTTTTATTTTTTTTTTGTCAGAATGAGCCGACTGTCCAACCCGATAATCGAACTCCTGACTGGTTCGATCTCCAGATCGATTTTAAAAACCATGGTTTACTGTGACCCAGATCAGACCTGACTCACCGATGGCACTATGAGCTCAGAAAACATGTTTAATTTTTGTATTTGTAATTAAAATTTTGTTGGTACAAATAATTCTTGTTTTGTCTTATGCAGATGCACTTCGTCGGATTTTATGATTTCTGGGATGGTAAGGCTAACTCTAAATCTTCACACAAAGTGACATTTTCTTTTCAACATTGTTTGTTTGGAGCAAAAGAAAAGTTTCGCTGAAATTTAGTAGCTAATTTATTTATTTTTCCATTGGTTGTATTATTTTGTATGTATTTGCATTGAATATATATTTACATTTGTTTTCTTTTCAAATTGAGTCTTGATAGTGAAAAACAGATTTTTTCCTTTTATGTTAAAATTAAACAGCCTAAGTGAATTAATGAAAAAATAATAAAAAATGATTTAAATATTAATAATTTAACAGTGAATATATGATTCATGTGGCCAGCCCCATATAGGGATAAGGCATGCATAGAAGATGATGATGATGATGGTGATGGTGATATATGATATAAAGCTTTCAGTTTTCAAAATGAAAAAAAAAAAAAGAATCCCCTTCGGCTATATTTGCTTTTATGTAAAAGGTGTTGGAATGAAATTTCTGTGTATCAGCCTAACAAGGGAAAAATTACAAGTATTTCAAAACAAAAAATTTTGCGTTCTTACAGCCATGACTTCGTTTTCTTTCAAGGTATATAAGCAAATTCATCCATATAAAAGCCAGTTTTTTCACCAGTGTTATAATTTTAATGGATTGAAAATGGAAATTTTCCCAAGAACCTTCCGTGGACGTAGGCACAAAATGCTGAACCATATATTAAATCTTGTTTTTTTAATTCTTCTCTTCCTGTCACAACAGATATATTAATATTTAGAATCAAATTAAATCTTATTCATTAGATTCAGATTTAATGGATCAAATTAGGATATTCAATGCACTTATTAAAATAAATTAATAATGTTGTATAATTTTAATAAAACAAATTAAAAATAACTTTGGTATTATATATCATGAATAAAATGGCTTAAATTAATTTTCTACGATGCTTGAACCTGATTCTTTTAACAAACATATTATTTTAATTTTATGTAGGTATCAAATCACGTCTGATGGAATTGAGGTGGATCCATGTATGTAAAATCCAATTATAAACAAATTGGCATGGTGCCAACCAGTTGGTTGGGTAGGGATAGATTTGAGTTGAGCCGAGTCGAATATTTGATTATTTGAGCTCGGCTTGTCAGAAAGCTATGAGGTTCAAGTTTAAGCTCGGTTTGAGCTAGAGAGTTGAATTCAAGATCGGCTTGACTCAAAATCTTATAAGTTTGAGCTCCACTGTGAATCAAGCTTCTTATAAAATTAAAAAATTATAACTATATATTTTTTTATTTTACATATAAGAATTTAAGAATTATAAAAATTAATTATTGTTAGACATATAAAAATTAAAAATATTATATACATAATATATATTTGTGTATATTATCTTTATATGTATAATATTTTATTATATCTATATATAGGCCCAATTAGGTTCACGAGTCTTACAAGCTGAGTTACATTAGGTTTGAACTCGGCTTGATTAGAAACGAGCCTATATATTGGTCTTGAATTCGGCTCAAAGCTTGTTTTAGAATAAACTGAGCTCAAATAGCTCGTGAAAGGCTCAATTCATTTCCACTCCTAGTTATGGGTTTAGGGATGGGCTACCCCCATTGTATAGACATAAAGAGCAAACTTCAAAAAGTAAACAAATATAAACAAGTCGAATTCTGATTACGTTAATTCATCAATTTTATTCAAATTTGGATTCAAACAAATGGATACCATTTGCAACACTATTAAATGGATCTTATTTAACATAAATTCCATTGTTGATATGTGGAGGAGAGAAGATAAATGAAAGAAGCAAGAAGATATCAAAGAAAGCCTCTATACCTTAACACATTACCTATATCTATTTAGGTCATAAAAATTAAATCAGAATAACTTATATTGTTTCCCTTCTATCTTTATTTGCACACATGCATAGCATCTGCCTCTTTAAACTAGTTTTTGTTAGTTATTTTTGTATAGTAACTAGACCTGTTTATGGGCCGGGTCAGGCCGGGCTTTGCCCTTACATTAACAGAATATGTTCGGGCCCGAGCCCAGCCCAACCATCGAGCCTAGGTCTTGAGCTTGAGCCCGACCCTTATATAAAGCTTGAAGCCCGGGCTCAAACCCGAGCTGGGTTAGAAATTTGGGAAAAAGATTTTTTTTCCTTTTTAACTCAATTAAAAGTTATTTTATTTATACTAAAAGACCCCAAAACCTAAAAAAATAATGAAAAGTCTCATTATTACTTAAAAAAAGAGAAGAAAAATAAAGAAAATTATATTATATATATGCTTTTTTATTATATAAAATATATTTTTATTAATATAATACATTATCAAGTCAGGCTCGGGTTTGGGCTCAAGTCGAGCTTTTTTGAAAAAACCTAAGCCCAGCATGAAAAAAATCAGGCCCGATTTTTTAGGCCCGAGCGTGTGGACCTGAAATCTTGTCCAAGCCTGACTTAGGTCAGGCGAAGCCGGGCCGGCCCGTCGGACTACCCTGCCCATGAACAGGTCTAATAGTAACCGTGGACCTTACAAAAAAAATCACCCTTCTATCTTTACTTGCACATATGCATAACACGTGCCCCTTTAAACTAGTTTTTGTTAATTATTTTTGTAGAATAACCATAGACTTTACAAAAAAATAAAACCGTCATTTTTATTAGTTAACACATCCGTGATCCAACCCACATCAAAGTCATTTTGACCCGGCCCAATGTCCTCTAGGTAAATGGGCCTTCTGAAAAATAACTTGGTTGATCCTCACTTACCATAACAGATCCCTTGTTGCAGAGTATAGGAAGAGCAAGTCTACCCAAGCTTCCATCTTCTGCGACAGGGCAAAAGATGCTCGGCTGATTGTTGTGGCATTCCGTGGCACCGAACCCTTCAATGCCAAGGACTGGATCACTGATGTTGACCTTTCCTGGCTGTCTATGGGCAACATGGGAAGAGTTCACAGAGGATTCATGAAAGCTCTCGGCCTTCAAGATGACAAGGATTTTCAGAAAGGTTGGCCCAAGGATTACGACGGAGACAAAGAATTGGCTTACTACATCATCAGAGAGAAGCTCAAGACATTGCTTGAATACCACAAAGGTGCCAGGATAATAATAACAGGACACAGCTTAGGTGCTGCACTTGCGACAATATTTCCTGCTATACTTGCATATCACAAGGAAGATCAAATCATGGATAGATTGTTGGGTGTTTACACCTTTGGGCAGCCTAGAGTTGGAGATGAAGAATTTGGGAGGTTCATGGAGGGGAAGTTAAATAAAGTAGTTAGGAGGTATTTCAGAGTGGTTCATAGATTTGACATCGTTCCAAGGGTGCCCTTTGAAGATAATATATCACAGTTTTCTCACTTCGGAGGATGCATTTACTACAAAACCTGGTATAACGTAAAGGTAAGTTATATCTACAAGTAAATCAACTGCATGTCATTCATACAATCATCATCTGGCTCACAGCCCCATTGAAATCGGAGTCAGAATCAGAATTAAAATCCTTCGGAATGATTTATTCTCATAGTCTGTTTGCATGGTTCAAACAGTAGTGGAAATGAGAATTGGAATCAGCAGAAATGGAATTTTATTCCCAAGAGTAAGGTAAAGAATGTCATTCCAATAGGAATGGGAATAGGATTCTGATTCCACTCAACCAAATAATTAGAACTGGAATAACCCATTCTGATTCTGATTCTATACCCCTATTCTTGTGAACCAAATGGAGCCTTAGGCTTGGCTCTTTGAGGCAATATTAAGCTCGAGCTGCATTTAAGTAGCACACACTTACTTCACCATTAATTCAAAATCATATTCATCAAAGAAGCCCATATGATAAAAATCGTCATCGTTGTTCCATTGTTATCAGAGCCTTATCCCAACTATATTGACTGCCCTTCAATCCTATTTTATCATTATCTTTTGTTTAATGTCATATCTATTATTAAATTATTAATATTTAAATCATTTCTTACTTTTTCGACTCATGCCTTTTTTTTGTCTTCTCCTTTTCATCTTGCAAAGGAACATTTATTCTTATGAATGTTGCCAAATATCTTCTATGAATGTGATTAAACCATCTAAGTATAATCTCTTTCTCTTCTATGCATGTGATTAGACCATCTTAGTATAATCTCTCTCTCTTACAATTACTCCATTTACTATCATAAAGAATTGAATTGGCTTTCTGACTTTATCGGTTTATATTTGTTTGTATGGAACACTAGGTGCTGAAGGAAGAACCTAATAAGAACTACTTCGATCCCAAATACCATTTACCCATGTACTTTTACGCTTGGTTGGACATATTTCTAGCTTTGTTTGTGGGCATCTATGAAGGAAGAGATTTCCATGAGAGTTTTACTTCTATCCTGTTCAGGATTGTGGGGCTTTACATTCCTGGGGTGTCTTGCCACAGTCCAAGGGACTATGTTAACGATGCAAGACTTGGGAAATTAAATCTAGTGAAGAAGTCGGAGGATGCAGAGAGTCTTATTGTTTAATGATAACCTTTTATGTGGTTTTCATCATGTTCAAAAGTATCTTTATATATTTAGGTCATATATTATGTTTGATGTTTTAAATGAAAAATAAAACAACCAATCGACTGTAGAGCTCAATTGGTAAGTTGTCTGGCTGTTTGTAGTAGAGAACTTGGGATAAAATTCCACTGCCACCCGAGTTTGGGGGATGTTATGGATATGGGGACCTGCCCCCATTGTGTAGCCCTATAAAGTAAATGAAAATATAAGTTGATGTATTGTTTTAGTTATATTTTAGAGTTCATTCATGATTTAAGGAAAATTGGTCAATGAAATTTTGGTTTTATATCATAAGTGAGTAAATAAGGGAAAAATTATTAATACTTAGATGGATAAAATTGTCTTTTTCAATAATGACCTTTTATTAGAGGTGAGCAAAAAAAGCTGGAAAACCAAATTGACCGAAACCAAATCAAAAAATCAGTTAACTAAACCGGTCAATTTGATTTCAGTTTGATTATATTAAAAAACTAAAAATTTTGGTTTGGTTTCAGTTAACCTTATACAAAAACCGGTGGTTAACAGAATCGACCAATGTATATATACAATAATATATCTTGTATAATGTATATATTATAATATTATATACTATAATTTTATTTTTATTTTAAAAATTGAATAACCTTGCTGCTGCGCATCTGTCACTCCATCCGCTGGCGCCTTTTTCAAATTTCAAACTAAGTCCAAAAAAAAGCAAAGCACCTTACCTTTCTATATAAATTTATTATTTTTTAAAATCCAAATATACAATAAACAAACCTGCGTGCGTCTGTCTCCGCCTGACACCTTTTCACTTTCTCCTTTCCCCTCTTGAGACCTAAACCATGATAGGCAATACGCTTTCTCTCTCTTACTCTCTCTTATGATTTTTCACTTTTTCCTCCTTCACTCTCTTCATCTTCTAGTTTTTTGTCTAGCGCGTCCTCCGACCGATGACCTTTCAAGTCTAACATAATGGCTAATTCTCCTCTTGCTTAGGTATTTACCTGTTCCTCTTTCTCTCTCTGTCGTCTGTCATTTCTGTCTTTGGTCACTGCCTCAACTCCGCCAGTACCGTCACCTCCCAGTTGTTTCTCTCATATCTTATCTTCGCTGCTCTGTCACTTCTCAAACTAGGTAATTTTTTCTCTTTTTTCTTAATTTTAAATGCAAAAAAAAATCGAAAAATTGAGTCACGGTTAACCGGTCCATCAGTTAACACCGGTTAACCAGTTACTTCGATTCAGTTTTGATTTAAATTTTAAAAAACCGATCAAGTCTATTTGGTTCAAAAAAACCTCACAGTTCAGTTAACAGAACTATGAACACCCCTACTTTTTATGGCTAAAATAACTTTATTGTATTATTTACTTGAAAAAAAAGAATAGAAATAAATGTACTTACCCCAAATAAGTAACTTCCCATAAACAAAACAAAACCTAAGTAGAAAGTTGCAAAAGAGAGGTTTGGGAACCTAACTGTTATAAATTAAATTCAAGGAATTTTATTTGTTAATGACTCATTAACTTCGCAATTGACAACAACCATATATATGTGGGCTTTAGTTGTTCTGGTTCCATAGAACTATTTGACGAAATTGAATCAAATTTAAACATTTGTACATCTGTTCCTTCCTCTGTTCCAATACAATTCATTTTACTAATTTTATAGAAAAAAAGAGAGGAGAGCATCTTAGACTTTTGAGTTGAGGGAGAGTGAATTCGGTTCATATTGGTAGGGGTGTCAATGGGTCGGGTCGGGTCGGGTTATTGGGGTTTTTCCAACCGACCCGACTTGGTCGGGTTACCTGAGGTAGAAACCGAAATCGACCCGACTTGGTCGGGTTACCTGAGGTAGAAACCGAAACCGACTCACTGATAGGCCAAACCGACCTGGTCGGTTTGAGTCGGGTTGGGTCGGTTTCGGTTTTGCTCCTGTACAAAAGAACACCTAATTGAATTTTAATTGTAATTGCCTAATGGGTTGCCTATTTGGTGTAAAAGACTATAGAAAGTTAGAAACTATGATAGATTGCCTATTCTAATTGTAATTGCCTAATGGGCCTTCTAATTCTAGTAAAAGACTAGTTATAGTTAAGTAGGAAACTACTCAAACTAGGAACTACCGAACTAGTAGAAGACTAGTTCGGTTCGGGTCGGGTTGGTTTTGGTTTTCACACAAGAAAACCGAAACCGACCCGATATATCGGTTTATATATTTGCCCAACCCGAAACCGACCGATACTGATAAAAACCCAGCCAACTCGGGTTGGGTCGGTCCAGGTTGGTCGGTTTGGTCGGGTTGGGCTTTCTTATGAACAGCCCTACATATTGGTTCATTCGGCTTAAAGTCAACATTAGGTCTCTCCAGCCCAATTAAATTAAAATCTAACTCTATTCCCAACAAACCCAATCATAATATCAGGTCGGGTTATGCTTTAGTTGGGATAAGAGGCAGAGACAGAGCAGGGTGCCATAAAGGTCCACTGACAATCTGACACATTACTAGCCTCATAGATCGTGAAAGACGATCTCTTTTCTCAAAGATGGCTGAAAATTAGTGCTCCAACCTGGAAGAGAGAAATAAGAAGGCACGCGCCTACATCAGCTAGGGATGGCAAGTGGGGTGAGTTTGGGGAGGGCTTTCTATATTATAGATTTTATCCGTCTCTCTAAATGTTTCAATCAGTACTTATAAAACCCTCCCCAACCCTATCCTCCCCACATTCAAGGATAGGGCAAGTTGGATTTACAACTCGCATCCAATATATTATTATTTTTCGTCATGTATAAGCAATAAATAAGTAAAACAATATAAATAAAGAACAAAGTTTCTAATTATTTGATTAAAGTATTATTTGGGTCATGGTTGAGTTGGTCCAAAAAGACACGTGGTTGTCTAGTCATCACCTGGTCAACCCAGCCACATCAGCATAGCTTGACCAGATCCATAGCATGCATCCATTTCGCAGCCCAGGCTAGGCTACGCTATTACAGTGGCACCCCATCTTAACTCCTCAACCACGTCAACTATACGTCATCCAGATAAGAACGACTTCAGATAAGAGGAGGGAAGACAACTCCGCCGAGGATTAGGACTCCTATCGCAAGAACCTCGACGGAGAGTCTCATTCTAGCAACCCCGGAAGCCATGTCTAACTAGGACATGGACCTTCGACTATAAGTAGGTATTCTCTGCTCAAGGTAGGGGCATCATACTTCTAGCTCTTAGACTCTCTTATACTTGGCCTAACTTTCCTCTTGCTCGGTCCATCCTTCCTCTACCTCCTACTCACTTAAGCGTCGGAGTATCTACCCGAGGATAAATCCTCGGGCCTCTGACATCCTTCTTGGTTGCAGATCTTGAAGCGTGGTTTCGTCCTTCCACCTCGGCTTTGCCCTGTTGGCAAGGATTATCTAGTTGCTCTCCTTAGTTCGTGCACTTCCTTGTATTGAGCAGCATCAGATTGGTGCCGTTTGTGGGAAACGCACAAAAAGCCTTCCCAAAAACTCTTTCTCACCGCACAGTCAAGAAAACAATCAAGATGAACAAGAACTAGTCTGAGCGATCAACATGTCTATCCCCATCTTTGGAATCCCGACATCGTAGCCCATCGCACCAAGAAGTCCCGCTAGTCCGATCAATGCAAGCAAAAGGTTGACAAGATCTTCAAGTTGATGCAGACACTAGGATCTGTGACACAGCCCAACTGGGTCGTACCCCCTCTCGCTCCAATGCATACCAAGGACGATCCTCGCTTGAACGACCCCAAAATGCATCGGTTAGACAAGAAGGGAGCATGGTCCAAACATGAAAGACAAGACACAATAGAGAAGACCACCTCTACAGCCCGCTCTCGAGAGTGTGACGACTGAAGCAAGACACGTCAGACCACATAGGTTCCTGCAAAGGAGAGGCTCGGCAAACGGACACTACCCTACGTGGTCTCCATTTTCGAGTCCAACTCGATGAAAGATTGCCCCGCATGGTCCAAGAAAGAAAGAGCCACACATACTACAGTACCAAACAATAAGGACACCAAAATCCAGGATCTCCAATAGTACTTAGAAGAGCTAGAGCGCAACTAAGTCCAGAGGAGTGCAGCACCCATAGATCAGCCTGCACAACCGATAGCTATGCTTGCCAAAGAGCCGCCTTTTATTCAGGAGATCATGGATGAGCTACCCCCTGCCAGATGGTGAGCACCCCAGTTTGACAGATACGACAGAAGTTCCAACCCCGGAGATCACGTTGTCATGCTAAAGGCCCAGATGATGCTACATGGAGCTTCCAGGGGATTGATGTGCAAGGCACTTATGGCCACCCTCAAAGGCCCAGCCTTGACATGGTATTCCTCCCTTCCCCCACGATCTATATCCTCGTGGGAGCAGCTAGAAGAACAATTTCTGGCACAATTCACCCCAAGCCAGAAACACTAGAAGACCTCGGCTAGCTTGATGCAAGTAAGGCAAAGGAAGAAAGAATCTCTTAGGGATTACCTGGCGAGATTCAATACCGAGGCACTCCAAGTCTGCAACCTGAACCAGTCAATGGCGGTCATATCCATCCAACAAGGACTCCGCCAATCCCCCTTTAGTTTCTCCATCTCTAAAAATCCTCCTCAAACCATTGCCGCACTAATGACTCACACGTAGAAATACATTAATGCCGAGGAAGTGCAGGCACTGCTACACGATGAAGAGGAGAGACCTAAAAAGAAAAGAAGAGATACGGAGGAGCATCGGATGGAGAGAATGAACCAAGATCACAAGAGATAGGATCGCCGACCCGAATGTCAACCAAGGACACTGCCACTGACCTATCAAAACTCCACGCCGCTAAATACTCCATAGTCTGAAGTTCTAGTGTAAATCTACAACCGCAATTACGTTAGGTGGCCCGTGAAGATGAAGACATAGAGCAACAAAATGAACTACAACAAGTATTGCGAGTTCCACAAGGACCACGGCCATGACACAGAAAACTACTTTGACCTGTGTAACCACATCAAAGACCTGATCAGGCATAGATACCTTGGCAACTTTATTGATAGAAGTGAATGACCGAACCAAGAAGAATGGCGTGTAGAGGATGCTCAGGAACCACCATCGGAGGAGAGAGTAGCTCAGGGCATAAGAAGTATGCCCGACTGTGCGAGATCGATGACTGGGGTCACAAGAAAAAGCACGGCCAATCAGTCACCTTCACTGGCAATGACCTTTGCAAAGTGCAAACCCAGCACGACGACGCC